AGCGATCGACAGTGAGGTGCAGTCGTGTCAGAATAAAATTGAATACTAATAACAAAGTGTACATACCATGTTGCGAAGGTAATCCATACGGCGTTTATTTGAGCTTGATATCACACAAAACAGAGATAGAATCGATGAGAGCCCCTTTTCGACGACAGCGTTCGTCACCGTTGCCTCGGAAAACAAGAAGATGACAAGAGGAAGAGATTGACCTCTTGATCTAGAATTGAGGTCAGCGATCAAACTATAATACGGGAAGGGTTCACAAGGGTCGCACGGGCATATTCCATTCAGCACGGCAGCCGGTCGTGGGCAGACGGTCTTCGCCAAGGACCGTCAGATCAACGCTGCGCCGAGTCGGAGTGCCTGCTAGGCCTATCTGCCGATCGGTCGGAGTCCGTACTCGTGGCCCTTGGAGTTTTTCCCGGGTGTCTGTGGATCCAGCGTTCTTGTTCGTTCGTCGTGGTCTGTTTTAAGTACTTTTTACTTGTTTCTTGCTGCTTTAGGTCGGGACGCGTGAGAAGCGCACGTAGAAAAATAAACATCCGTTGGTTGTCGCGATCAACTGAGCGACGCTGTCGGCCATGCTGATTTGATCGTAAGAAGTGCGTAAGACAGCTTCGGAGCTGTCGTAGGATTTCGTCGTAACCTGCGCAAAACTTACGAAAATTTCGCTTCGTGAATACGGATTTGTTCTTAAGTTTTGTCTTAGGCACATTTTTGGCGTAAGATCGTTTCGTGAATCGGGCCTCAGTTTTAGCCTCTCCGGTCTTTAGAAGTCGCAAGTGTGTAACAGGCCTTAAAGGGGTACTCCAAAGAAATTTGAAGTATCCCGTCGTGTTCAGAAATAGTCTGAATATATGATTCACGATATTCGTAAAGGACAATCGTATGCTTCTATTTTGAGCCTGATGGCTGTATTATTCGTTATAAACGGCCCACTCCGGCAAGCGCTCGGAGAGCAGCCAGCGGAGAACACGTGACATCCGCCGCAATCCTTGAATAGTTTGTCGCAGGACGAGCTGCGACGAGGCTAATGTCGAGAGGATGTCAGAAATAAGAGTTGTGACGCTGGCTAGCCGGTGAACGTTCATACCTGAAAAAACTCTGAGACAAGGAAAAAGGAAGGGACATTTAAGACTTCGTTGTGTTTGTCCCTTTCTTTTCCATTGGTTCTAGCCGTTGCAGCCACCGAAGCGGCCGAAGCACGCCACAGATCGGGCCACCGCAGCTGGCCCAGAGCTGCTTTTATATGAATTTTGAGTGACGGCTTAATCTTCTCTAATCTTGTAGAGGGACAATAAAGACGTTTGGGACACAGAAAATGGAAGCGCACTCTAATGCTTTGCGTACACAAAGAATAGCGTCGTCGCGACTGTGCATGCGCCGAACGCGCTAACCTCGTTTTGCGCTTTGTGTGTGCTATTTTAGCGCACGATCTTTTTCGAAAATTTCGTGCGCACGCAAAGGGTCTTTGCGCTCCTCCAAGGCAGATTCGTGATGAGAAGTTGGCTAAAGCCAAGACGAGCACAGTAAAAAAATGGTGGTTCACATGACGATGGCTGCTGCCGCTTGTCATTTCATTTAATTTAATTTCATTTTATTTATTATACACTCAGGGCCCGAAAGCATCACAGAGGAGGGAGCGACAGAAATGTTAATGCAAATAACATAATACATATTAGACACACTCAGTAAAAAAGTAATTAATAGTTGTACTTTTAAAGAGCTCAGGGTCCGTGATAATGCTGATCGACCGGGGAAGGTGATTCCACTCCTGGGATGTACGGGGAACGAAAGATGAATAAAACGTGGTCGTGATAGAGTAAGTAATGCCCACCTTATGTTGATGATCAAGACGGGAGGAAATTTTTACACCCTTTCCGCAAAGCCTCGCTGGGCTTTGTAATAAAGCACCGACGTCCGTTTGTCGCTTGTGATGATGGTGTTGTTTATTCGATTCCGTTAATATGCCGAAATAAATACATGGGACAAACGGGCAGATGCCTGAATGATAGGCTCCTAGAGCATAATCTTAACCAACTATCGCGATGGCCACCTATCATTGCATAGTCAGGACTACAGGTGCAGGCCGTTGTTCGACTGGCCAAACATAAAAACAGAACTGTTAGGGAAATAATCGTAGCGGACGAGATAAAGATAGCTGCTGTAGGTTGTGTTAGCGTTGCGTCCATTGACCTGTTTGATAAGGAGGTGCAGTACATGCGAGCGGCGGCAAGGCCTGGGGTTGGCTGATCGTGATAGGAACGTAGTGTGCATATATGTCCCATTTCCACGTTGATTAAACAGTCAGCGCATGTGTGTGTCTTGTTTCTTCTTCGTCCTCGTCTAAAAGCGTTACCATGCCCTTGTTATTCTAAAACTCCCTAAAAAGAGGGTCTCGGGGAGAGGGGAGTTCCTCCTTCCACTCTTCTCTCGTGGTGGCCGGAGGCGAGACAGTTATCGTCACTACCTGTCAAGGTTCATAGGCAGGCATTACAAACAAGATGTTAGCGACTTCCACCGGATGCTGTTTGCTAATAATTTAATTTGTATTAAATTCCCTTTCGTGTTTTTTTTTTGTTTTTTTTTTTAACAAGAGATTGGTGCGTTTGATGTGATCTGCACCCTTGAACTCGAATAGACCAAGAAATAAGCGCTGAAATTTTATTACAGTATGGCTTTAAGGTCGCCAAAGTAAGATAACAAAACAAAGTCTCAAGGAGAGGGCCAATACACGAATGCGGTGGTGAACTCGCACATTGATCACTTCTAAAAAACAAAACTTCAAACCTCCATATTTCACATTTCCACTTTAAAAATCAATCAAAGACAAGTTACAGTCTTCTTTTTTTTTTTTTTTTCATGTTTAATGCGTTTTTTTTTATTTCGTTTTTTTTTTTTTATTAAGACAGTGTCCGAAGGAGGGGCAGAGCAATTAGCGGCGAGATGTTTTGGTGGCGCCCTCGTTCGGTTACCTTTCGTGACGTCATTACCTTGTGAACAATAAGTTCGATGGTGTTTGTTATAGGCATGGTAGAAGCCTGAAATCATAGCGCTCTCAAAGCAACACTGCCAACACCGTCAAAATTGAAGTTCTTTCACTCCTCTTAAGGCCCGTTCACACGATGCATTTTTCTCGCGCAACTAGTGTCGCGAAACGTAGTTTCGCGAAATGGTTGCGCCGTCTGAACGAGCCCGAAAAGGACGCGCGCATCTAAAAAAAGTTGCGCGCACACCTCGCTTCTGGAGCGAGCTTTTGCTGAAACTTTGCCGAGTCCTGTCAATCACTCTAGGGCGCCGCCAATGGCCGCTCAGAAACGCTCTCACGTGGCCTTTGAGGGGGGAGCGAGCTGTTTGAGAAGACCACTTCACTGCCGGTGTTGTAGCCGAGCCAAATCTGAAAAAAACCGAAACCACGAACGATGGATACTGCCGGCGCTTCCGCAAGCACGTCAAGCACCACTGAAGGAAAAGTGAGTAGCATATCGGAAAAAAATCCAGCGATGGTCGAAGACGTAATTGGAGATGATGATAATTCGCGTCTATTTTTAGTCATAATTAAGAAATAAACCCTTGAGACAAGGAAACAAAAAGGGACGTACACAGTACCGTCTCAAAACCAGCACAGCGTACAGCTCTCATTTACTTCCACAACAGTCTTCTTTGTCAACCTCAATCCAAATTATACATATTCAACAGTAAATAAAGTAAATGGCAATAAATGACAATTCAACCACTAGTAAATGACAATTTAAGAGTAAATTAAGTAAATGGAAGTAAATGACACGACGCTGAATGGCTAATGGCGATGATGATGATGTTGGCTTTCAACTGAAGCGCCACTTTGTGGTCAACACCCAAACTATTTTCGCGAGTCTCAACGTCATCGTTGTTGCACGTGAAGCGGTACGTGTGAACGAGCACATTTCGCGAAACTTGAGTGTCGCGAAACCGTTGCGCGCCTAAAAGATGCATCGTGTGAACAGACCTTTACTTCCGTCGATGAGACATCCTTTGCTGACGTCAGAGTCCACATTCGGCCAATAGGAAGTATTTACTGGCGACCATAGCTGTGTGCGCGAATGCTGAGCGCGTGCTGACGGCGAGCTTCCACAGTTCTTTTGCAACGTGCATTCCGCACCATCAAGGTTGCCGGTCTTAGCAGCCTATTGATGTGAGATCGTTCTGAGCATGTGCTCTAAACAGCACCCACAAATATGGCGTCCATTGAATACTCCCTATTGTGGTGGGCCGACCACAGCGACGCGTTCGATCGCTCACGTCGCCAATAGGGAGTATTCACTGGCGGCCATAGTTGTGTGCGCGACTGCTGAGCACGTGCCGACGGCGAGCATCCACAGTTCTTTCGCCACGTGCATTCCGCACCACCAAGATTGCCGGTCTTAGCAGCCTATTAAAGGGAGCTCGTTTCGAGCATGCGCTCTAAACGTCGCCCTCAAATATGGCGTCCAGTGAATACTCCCTATAGACCAAGTAGCCTAAAGTAGGGATCATACTGCTCATACATCATGCAAAAGACAGTCTGAACACAAGAGTCACCGCAATATCTGTGATCCGAATGGCGCGTGCCAAGTTTCTTCCCTGGACTCATTGCGATGCGGCATTCGAAGCACGGATCTCGCGGTGACTCGCGGTCGAATCTGTATACAGACTGTCTTTTGTATGATGTATAACCAGTACGTGACCCCGGCTACACGTGACACTGATCCCTTAATTCAAATAAGTACTTATTAAAAGGGTGTAAAAATGCATTCAATTAAAGTTAAAACTTGGTGATCGGCATCTACAAGGTAATATAGAAATATACGTTATAAACAACAAAATAACAATGCAAAATGCGCAAAAACTTTGTAAACAGATGACGCTAAACACCCCCCCCCCCCTTTTACAACATCAAAAAAAAGAACTTCATACGTTTTTTTTTTTTTTTTTTTTCAAGGTACTGTGGTTTTGATTTTATTCAAATTTGATTCCTTGCCTACCGGCATTATTTAGTAGGGATCTTTCAATCTTCAACAAGCTGGTGGAGTAGAAGTTGGTGGCAGGGTTACACCATGCTTTGTTTCGCACTTTAGTACAAGATCAAACAAGCTTTTCTGTTCCTCTTCCTGAGAAGAAAAAGAAATAACAGGTGAAAAATACGCAACATTGGACTTTTGCTCTGATATATGACAAGCGGCACTGTCATCAGGATACTAACGCATGACAGGCGAAATTAGATTCATATATTTGTAATAATGCCTAAATAGTGATTATTCCAGATACCCAAAATTCGTTTTGACAAAACGTATTCAAAAATGATTTTGTTAGAAAATATCTGTCCAGCGTTTGTTGCGACATAAAAGCTGAAAACAAAGAAGACTTGCAAACCAAACAGAAATCGGCACATAAACAAAGCTCATTTCTATGCTTCGACTTGACGTGGGTGGCAGTAGAACCGCAGAAACATCAACACTTTGTTGGAAAAAACAAGAAAACATATTTTAAACTGAATTGAACGGTAGCCCGAAACAAGCTCGTTGTTGGTTATGAGCAGAGCCGTTTATCGAGAGGGTTTGGCCATACATTGGTTTGAATAGGCGAGCGTCTCGGGGCCTAGGGTGCCTACATGTCTGTCTGTCTCAGGGTGAAGACATCCATTGTTCCCCTGAATGTGCCAGTGCGTGACGCTCTCGCGCACTCGGTGCGTGACTTGGGCGGCAAAATGGCGCCTATGTATTAGCCAAAGCTAGACGCTCGAGCTGAGTGACACCGGATTGTGCGCACTTCAAAATGCATAAAAAAACGAATGGGCGGAAAAATGGCTGACATGTCACCACTCAAGCAAACGCGCGTGTGTATGAAGGCACTCTATCGGGGCCAACCACAGGCCGCGAAACAGCCCCTAGCGGTGGTCGTGAGCTCTAAATTTGTGACACGACTAATTCAAGCCGTTTTAGCGTCGCTGGAGTTAAAAGGTGTGACTCTCAGTGACTGAAAACTTTGTGCGTGCGAGGTGTTCGTCACGCCAATATTCAAGTGTAGAATAAACGAACGTGCGCTTCAAACCAGGGCCAACTTGTTAGGAACAGCGTCTCAGCTGAGACGGTGAATGAAAGCACTGCCAAAGCCAGCGCAGGAGCCGAGCGGGACTCCGCGTCTCCAGACGTTCGCACGCCCCACCCTTTGCACTGTTTTCTTTCCGCCAGTCACAGGACGCTGTTCTAACAAGCCAACATCAGCAGTGCAGAGAAAGGCATGGGCACGAGCGCGTGGCTTTGGAAGTGGCTCCTATGCACGAGTTCTCGTACAAACAAAAGCGTTTTGCTGAGCTAGGTTCACGCGCCTTCACCTTTGTCTTCAGTGCCGACATTAGTGAGATGGAGCAGAGAGGCCGAGATTGAACGCCTCTATTTAACGCTCTGAATGTCGTTTGCAATATTATGACGTCGCGGTCTCCTGATTGGTCAACGCTGTGTCACAAATTTAGTTTACGCTCTAAGCGCGGGGGGAATAATCGGCGCTGGCGGCGGCCTTTGCTCCGCCTATTGGCCAAACTCTCCCAATACACGGCTCTGGTTATGAGGCTTCAGTGGAATGTCGTGACGGCATCGGCCTCCGACGGCAGCGCCACTGTATGGGAAGTACGCTCTCTACTACAGATTACCTAGTCCAGAATGTAAAGCCGAATGTTTGGTGAAGGAAGCCAAGGCAGTTTGCCACCTTAAATTCAATTCGCCAGCTAATCGCTTCCACTCACCCTTTGGCGCCTGGGACGTCAGGGGCTGACGAACTATCTTTTTCAACACGGCGCGCACTGCTTCCAACGTCGTTCTCTCCAAAGGACGCTGGCCTTTCGAAGTGACCCGGCTTTACGTCGCAAAGCTGCGCCGGTTGCTGCCTTTTTATGGGCTGTAGTTTTTTTTTGAGAATGTGAGAAGCCAGCGATTGTCTGGCCGTCCAACCCTATTTCTGGTCGATCTTCTATCCTTGAGGCAGCAATATTGAAGAGAACCACACTCGGTCACGAACCGCTGGTAACCGTGTTGCCTAGTCCACACCTCGCCGTAACCGCTGGTTGTACTACATTGCACGATGGTAACCGCACGTCTGCACGGCGTCCATTTGCAATCGATGGCCCCGTGGCGTTCTCGCGCGCGCGCAGACACTTGCCAAAATTTTGCCGAAATTTTGCCGAATCTTTGCCGAACATTCCTTCAAAAGTTCGGCATTTGCCGACCTTGCCGAATCTGAAGTTTGGCAAATTCGGTCCATCACTAAGTAATATACATATTAAGCTACTCCGTCACCAGATTGAATAAAATAGTTTACTTTTTTTCTTAAGTTAAGTGGGGAGGCTGGTCTTTAACTTTGTGTTTTTTATCTTTCATTTATCCTGCTGAAATTTAGTATAGTGGTGTATTTCTCAGTGGTGATTTCAAATATGCAATTAGTTTTCAGGTAGCTTTACTAGATCTTGAGTTATCAATAAATTAGTCATTTTAATTAGGTCCTCTTTACGGGTCGTTAGCGTAAAATTCTACAGAATTTATCAGTAATATTTATAGAATTGCACTCATCAGGACATGTTTTGTGCGGTGATGCTATTTTTGTTGCTTTATAGCTCATACAATAGTTTTAATTAATTAGTCTCAAAAAGATGTAGCCTCCCGTTTTGTGCAACTTGATTGCAAATGTTTTTTACCAATGTAATATCATTATATCAGGCTTAAAATAGCATCACCGCACAAAACACGCCTTGGTGAATGCAATTCTACAAAAACTTCTGTTATATTCTAAAGAATTTTATGGTAACGGCCCGTAAGGAGGACCTAATTAAAATTAAAGATTTATTATTAATTAAGGATCTAGTAAAGCTATCTGAAAAATAATTGTATATTTGAAATCACCACTGAGAAATACATCAGTATACTAAATTTCAGCACGATAAATGAAAAATAAAAAACGAAATGTTAAGGACCAGCCTCCCCCCTTAAGCGTGCCCCTGATTTACAAAAAAAAAAAAAAAACACTAAAAGAGGTACTGGATTACACATAAAACAGATAATATATATTTAATAGCTGGTTTATAAGAATCTAAAGACGCACGCTTACCGTCATTTCAATGAGATGTTTATTAGTCTGAAAAATAAAACATATATGTATTGTTTTTCTACGCGTTCACAACATATAGAATATAACATTTTGGATACGTTTTATTTTATACCCATCTTGATTAAAATTTTAGATTACGATTAAGATTAAGAATTTAAGCAATAACGGGAAGTTGCTAAACTTTCTGTTCAAAAAGATTTCCTCCTAGCGTCGTTTTCGCCTTATTACCCATGCAATGAAGTTTTTATGATGATGTATTTGACGGTTCTCCGCCTTGCAATATGCTTATGCACGATTCTCATTAGGAATGAAACGTTGTTACATTATTATCCTCAGAGATAATGTGCACTATTATTCGGACGCCGGTGTCAATGAAGTGCACTTGTCCTGATTCAGTAAATCTGTTATGACGCAATATGCTATCTTGAAGTGTGTGACTTCCAGTTACATTGCATTCAAATGTGTAACTAGTGAAATATAAAGTTCTACTTACATTATTACAAATGCTGGTAAAAAAAGTACCGAAATCGCCGCAAAGGATGCTTGTATAATTCTTAAGTGCTTCTTGAGCCTCTGTAGAGTTCTGAAGAGTACAATTTGCATTCATCATGACATCAGCAAAAGATACTTTTTCGAAGTATGTATTAATATATGCTGTATATAATTACGTTTATTTCCTTTTGAGTGCAGTCAAAAATGTTCTTCTGGTCGTCCGACGAGGCACCTACACGCAGGTGAAAACACAGGTCTTTCGTGATTGTCATTGCAACTGTTACAACGCGGCACCTAAGCTTCCATTCTTAAAGTAAAGAAGAAAAAAAATGAAATGCAAAACATTTCGTTTACACGAGTTTTATTCTATAACTACAAAAAAATTATTCCACGGCACACAAGCATTTCTTAACTCTGCAAAACAAGCTTTGAAATTCAGCGAAACAAAAGAAAGATTAAATGATGAAGATCTTACTGCAGAATACTGGCTGCTTTGGCTCTGTACTTTCTGACTCTCCGGACGCTGTAGACGACTCTGTGTCTCCTGTACAAAAAATGAAGGACGTCACTGCCAGAAGCACAGCTACTTCGACTAAGTAGACTTTCATGTCGTTGTCGCTAAGATTCCTATTTCAATCGGCTGCAGGACAGGCTGTTCCTTCTTTTTATAGCAAATGTACGGTCGAGATCCGAGTTTGATTTCTCTCTAGATAGCAAAGAACAATGCCAAAGGTCTTGGATACAGTAAAGGTCGGCGATACAAGCTCATCAGATCCGGCTTTACTCGAGCTTCCGTGTAGCTGTGTACAGATTTCTACAGCTGCGTACAGATTTCCGGAACACGAAAAACTTGCTTACGACTTAGCAATAACAGGTGCTTAAAGTTTAAGGAAGTGACTTCGTGCGCTTTTATTAAAGTATATACGACGATAGTTATCCAAAAACACCAAATTTTACTTAAGTGATGCTTGGAGTTTACGAAAATATAGCTTACTTACGTTAATATACTTTTTTCCTTAAGTGTCCCGCGATAAAAGTAAACAATATATTTTAAGATTTTGTGCTCTTTTTGTATCTGTAAATTAGCTTTCAGTTAGGGGAAGCGAAAATTTCGTCAAAGAACAGTAACTACTAAGCGATGGTGATAGCATATAGTGGCATTTTCGGTCCGTTATGCACCAATAACATGCGAAATCCACGTAAAATATTATGAGGGCAGCGGGCGTTAGTCGTAGCATGGTTCTTCTTAGGGCGATGTCGCTGGCGACTGGGCTACAGGAAGGCTATGTCCGACAGCAGGGCGTTTTCAGATAAGATCAAACAATCTTGTCCGGTGACCATTTTTAATTTCGATGAAAAAAATATATCTTGCTGGCTTTATGCCCAGAAAAATAAAAACAACCCTTGTTTCTGTAAAAAAAAAAATTGTGTTTGCGAAAAAAAATTTGTAAGCACCCTCTCAGTCACGTGCGCGTTTTGCGTACCGCGCGATGTTGAAATTTCGGGCAGCTTCCCCCCTAAAAATGTTCTGACCACGGGTCTAGAAATATTCACTGACAAATTAGGCATAGGAAGGATTGACAAAAAGTATCATTCACCGAATATTAGGGTAGTTATTTAAAAAAAAAAAACGCGAACACCAATAACGCTCTGGATTACAGAATATTTTCCCCCGTATTTATAAAAACAATGGTCTTCAAACTTTTCCTGTGTGTTGCCCTGTATATAGTTACTCTTTGCATGAAATATTGTTGTCTTGATGATTGGGAGAAATTTACAAGAAGTGCTCACACAGGGGCATTTAACTAAACATGCATTATTTTGAAAACCATTTAAAAAAAAGGCCGTCTTCAATATTTTTTTAACTCTCTGAAATTAACGTTCATAATATGTACTAACAGAGACTGCAAAAATATGATGCAATATTTGTGTTACTTTTAAGTTATAAAGCGAGAAACATGGCCAAATTGACGCTAACGCGGTTGCCGTAAATGGGGTGTGCACATACACGTTCTTCCCAATTTCAGTATTATTAAAAAGCGTAAAAATTCTACGGGGTGGTCAGGAAAAGACAAATTGACAGCACAAAGGTGGACTGTAGTTTTGAAGGCAAAATTCTTAACACATTTTTGTATAACCGACCCAAAAACGCCCCTGGGCCGGAGCGATCAAGGTGCGCCACCCCGTAGCATGCCCCGCGGTGCCTGTTTCAACAGTCGGCGTATAGCGCCTCCGTCTAAGCGACGTAAAGGAAGCAACCTGAATGACTTTGAATACAGATCAGCCTACAATCTTGGCGGTAACATGATATAGGAAGTAGCGCGCGGGAGAACCTCAACCTGCGCCGCCTCTGAGCGCCAATAGATCCGCCTCCATGGAGGGCCGCACAACGAGTAGAAAATATAAGATACTTAAAAAAAAAAAAAAGAATTCCGATTGCCTGAGATTGTTTGTATTGCGGAGTTTTTAGATAGGATCGAATGACCATGTCCGGTCGACATTTTTTTTATTTTTACCAAGAGATATATTTTTTTACTTGTTGTGCAAGCGCAAAAACTTATTAAAACTTTTTTTGCGAAAAATAAAATTGCTTTTGAGGAAAACAAATATCACAAAGTGGCTCTCGGTATACGGGCACGTTTTTGCGACTTGCGTGAAACCGTCCTTTTGGATATTTATTAAAGAAAAACTGTTGCCGGCTTAGGTTTAATATATATATATATATATTTTTTTTTTTTTTTGTGCGGAGAATTTACATAAAATAAAAGGAGTTGAACATGCACTATGGATTACGAAGAAATTCAGAGCTTTATGAATCCAGATGTTAAAAGACTGAAAATTCAATTTTTTAGACACGATTTGGACGCGTCTGCTTTATATTTGCTTAAATTTTTATTGAAATTGAAAACCTTTCTAAAAAATACACTAAATTGTAGACGGGTTACCGATTTTGCAATGATTGGAAAATCAGTTTAAAATGAAGGCTGTCGTAATTTTCCTTCTACTTTTCACAGATCAAGGCTCAAATCTGTCCTATCAGGGCCTTCAAAACTGCTTTGCAATATTTTTTTAATGTTTCTTTTCTTTTATTTTGCACGGTTTTAAATATACAGAATTGCCGTAACAGGAGTAGAGAATGATAGGACGTTGCCAATTTCAAACAAGGGCAAGCAAAGGGTGGAAACATGTAGGAAGCCCGAAGAGAAAGCACTGCAACAGGAGTTTGTAAAAAATAAGAATTTATAGAAAAGATTAGAGGTCAGTTTGAAGCACAAGTCAACAATTTAAATACAGATTTCTCGTATCAGTGAATTTCGGAGCCTACCCTTCGTGGGGAGGCTGGGTTGCTGACGACCAGGTTTAAATAGTGATAAGAGAGAACCCATGTTGTTAATCAAGATCCTGTGCGCACATTCGGAGCTTGTCGCGTGAATTGTTTCTGCCGGACGCTGACCTGAGTCGGTCACGGCGCTCTCCTGGCACTCCGAGCAGGAATATTTTTTTTCCCGTTTTCTGCCTGTAGCAATTACTGTTCGTTTCTTCCCAATGGCACCGCAAGCTCGCGACCGCGATCTGCTTTTCGCAGCCATAGGAGACTTTACTTCTAAATATATATTTTTTTTGCGGCTGCTTTTCTTGCTAAAACAGCTGTGGTTGCGAAATGTCGGACCGCGTGCACTGCCACAAGCGACAGGGCTGAATTCTAATCACAACGGAAACGGAGTCCCAGTCCTTTGCTTTCATGTCCCTGAACGCTTTGACGTCAGCTTTCGGGAGGTGGACTAGTTTCACGTTCGGCAGCTAAGTCTTCAGTGGGGCAACAATAAAGAAAAAAAAAAAAAAAAGTCTTCAGTGGGGCAACCATCTCTGACGCCGACTTGATCATGGACTTGGTGGGTTGTCGTAGGGTGTACAACGTTGTCTAGTGCTTGACACGACCCCCGATTCAATCACAGGCACTCTTGCCATGTCAAGTTGCGGAAAAAATACACATCGCTGACGTGTATTTGTGGCTCTGCAGCTCGTGTGGTTGGTACTTGTTCTTAAAGTGGTTAGTTGCACCATCACTTACGTAGGTCACATGAGCATACAAAAAATTGGATTTCACGACTCTCCAAACCGTTGTCTTATAAATTAAGTTACACGCAATCTCATTCAATCGAAATTATTTTTCCTTTTTTTATGTATCTTTATTTTCTACGCGTTTTGCGACCCTCCACGGCGGCGGACCTATTGGCGCTCACACTCTCTAGAAAAAAGGGTGTAAAAGGGTGTATCGCTACACCCTTTGTCCCATATAATACACCCCAATACGTTGTACACCCTACGACGTACAGCGCCCTACAGTCGAACATACGGCCCCAAATTTTTCGTAGGACTTGATAGCCGTCTGGTACAATATTAATATAGCTAATGTACGTTTTACTGACTACAAAAACAAATCGGGGTTTTCTTGGCTTTACTGTAAAAACTTGGTGTTTTCTTTATGTGGCCTTTGATACGTACTTGAGCTATTTAAAAAGTCACATCGCACCGTTATCAAGCCCCTCGTAAGATTTGGGGCCGTCTGTTCGACTATAGGGCCGAGTACGTCGAAATGAAGCTTTGGGGTGTATTATATGGGACAAGTGGTTTAACGATACACCCTTTTACACCCTTTTTATAGAGAGTGCACAGGCGGCGCAGGTTTAGGTTCTACCGCGTCCTACTTCCCATATCATGTTACCGCCAAGATTGTAGGCTCATCTGTTTTCAAAGTCATTCAGGTTGCTTCCTTTACGTCGCGTAGATGGAGACGCTACACGCCGGCTGTTGAAACAGGTGCCGCGAAGCATATTACAGGGTGACGCACCTTGATCGCTCCGGCCCCTGAGCATTTTTGGGTCGGTTGTACGAAAATGTATTAGGAATTTTCTCTTCAAATCTACCATCTACCTCTGTGCTGTTAATTTGTCTTTTCCTGACCACCCCGTAGATTTTTTACGCATTTTAATACTATTGAAATTGTGAAGAACAGGTGTGTGCAAGCGCCATTTATGGCAACCGCGTTAGCGTCAAGTTGACCTTGTTTCTCGCATAACTTGAAAGCAACACAAATATCGCATCATATTTTTGCAGACTCTGTCAGTACATATTATAACCGTTAATTTCACAGAGTCTAGAGAACATTAAACCTGTCCTTTTGTTTTTAATGATTTTCAAAATAATGCATTTTTAGTTAAATGCGCTTGTGTGAGCAATTCTTGTAAATTTCTCCCACTGACCAGGAAACAATATTTCACGCTAAGATTAACTATATACAGGGCAACACACTGGCAAAGCTTGAAGACCTTAACTCCTTATAGATACGGAAAAAAATATTCTTTAATCCAGAGCGTTATTGCAAAATGTGCCGTATTCACGATTTTTTTTTTTTACAAAATAACTACCCTAACACTGGGTGATTAATACTCTTTGTCAATCCTTCCTATGTCTAATTTCTCAATAATTATTTTTAGACACGTAGCCAGAACAATATTTTGGGGGAAGCCGCCCGATATTCCAACATCACCCGACACGTAAAACGCGCGCGTGACTGAAAAGGAGCTTGCACATTTTTTTTCGCAAA